AGTATCAAAGTTATTGTATATGTTTTTATAATGACTTTCTAGTACAATCTTTTAAAACCATTATTACAGTCATAAAAAGGTAGATGTAAAAGTATATAAGAAATACACACATAGAGCGATATAGAAGTATCTAACATGCACTTACGTAAACTGTCAACATACACATGGGAAATATCCGTCTGTACCTGACCTCCTACTGATAGTGTTAATCTGCAGGTATCAGTTTACCGTTCGCCTCCTTTTCCAGATCTATCTGTCTCTCTATCTATTTATCTATCTGTTTCTCTATCTATTTATCTATCTGTTTCTCTATCTATTTATCTATCTGTCTCTATCTATTTATCTATCTGTCTCTCTATCTATCTATCTATTTATCTATCTGTCTCTCTATCTATTTATCTATCTGTCTCTCTATCTATTTATCTATCTGTCTCTCTATTTATCTGTCTATTTATCTATCTGTCTCTCTATCTATCTATCTATTTATCTATCTGTCTCTCTATCTATCTATCTATTTATATATCTGTCTCTCTCTCTCTCTATCTATTTATATATCTGTCTCTCTATTTATTTATCTATTTATCTATCTGTCTCTTTTCTATCTATCTATTAATCTATCTGTCTCTCTATTTATCTATCTATTTATCTATCTGTCTCTCTATCTATTTATCTATCTGTCTCTCTATCTGTTTATCTCTCTATCTCTCTACCTATTTATCTATCTGTCTCTCTATCTATTTATCTATCTGTCTCTCTATCTATCTATCTATTTATCTACCTGTCTCTTTATCTATCTATCTATTTATCTATCTGTCTCTCTATCTATCTATTTATCTATCTGTCTCTCTATCTATCTATCTATTTATCTATCTGTCTCTCTATCTATCTATTATCTATCTGTCTCTCTACTATTTATCTATCTGTCTCTCTATCTGTCTATCTATCTATCTCTCTATCTATTTATCTATCTGTCTCTCTATCTATTTATCTATCTGTCTCTCTATCTATCTATCTATTTATCTATCTGTCTCTTTATCTATCTATCTATTTATCTATCTGTCTCTCTATCTATCTATCTATCTATTTATCTATCTGTCTCTCTATCTATTTATCTATCTGTCTCTCTATCTATCTATCTATCTATTTATCTATCTGTCTCTCTATCTATTTATCTATCTGTCTCTCTATCTATCTATCTATTTATCTATCTGTCTCTCTATCTATCTATCTATTTATCTATCTGTCTCTCTATCTATCTATCTATCTATTTATCTATCTGTCTCTCTATCTATCTATCTATCTATTTATCTATCTGTCTCTCTATCTATTTATCTATCTGTCTCTCTATCTATCTATCTATCTATTTATCTATCTGTCTCTCTATCTACCTATTTATTTATCTATCTGTCTCTCTATCTATCTATCTATCTATTTATCTATCTGTCTCTTTATCTATTTAATGATCTGTCTCTCTCTCTATCTATCTATTTATCTATTTATCTCTTTATCTATTTATCTATCTGTCTCTCTATCTATTTATCTATCTGTCTCTCTATCTATCTATCTATTTATCTATTTGTCTCTCTATCTATCTATTTATCTATCTGTCTATCTATCCATCTATCTATTTATCTATCTGTCTCTCTATCTGTCTATCTATTCATACATCTGTCTCTCTATTTATCTATCTGTTTATCTATCTGTCTCTGTATCTATCTATCTATTTATCTATCTGTCTTTCTATCTATCTATCTATTTATCTATCTGTCTCTCTATCTATCTATCTATTTACTTATCTGTCTCTCTCTCTATCTATCTATTTATCTATCTGTCTCTCTATCTATCTATCTATTTATCTATCTGTCTCTCTATCTATCTATCTATTTATCTATCTGTCTCTCTATCTATCTATCTATTTACTTATCTGTCTCTCTATCTATCTATCTATTTATCTATCTGTCTCTCTATCTATCTATCCATTTATCTATCTGTCTCTCTATCTATCTATCTATTTATCTATCAGTCTCTCTCTCTCTCTATCTATCTATCTATCTGTCTCTCTATCTATCTATCTATTTATCTATTTGTCTCTCTCTCTATCTATCTATTTATCTATCTGTCTCTCTCTCTCTCTATCTATTTATCTATCTGTCTCTCTATCTGTCTATCTATTTGTCTATCAGTCTCTCTCTCTATCTATCTATTTATCTATCTGTCTCTCTCTCTATCTATCTATTCATCCATCTGTCTCTCTATCTATCTATCTATTTATCGGCAAGCGTGGGTTACGCCTCGCACAGGGAAACCGCCCTTAGGTCCGTCCCCGTTCGCCTGACCCTGGGGGCGGAGACTACCTGTCCGCTCCTCCAAGGGGTGGGGCCGACCTGACCTCCCAGCCAATGAGGAAGCGACGAACCTGGGCACTCCTAACAACGCGCGACCTCCTGGCACTGCCGACGACGGACAATTTAACTCGGGAATACCCACATCTAATTCGGTTTGGAATTCTAGCTCGAGTGGAACATAAACCCTCGCTAACATTCTAAATTACTGATATCTATCTATCTATCTATCTATCTATCTATCTATCTTCTTCTTCTGGCTTTAGTCCCTGTTAATGGGGTCGTCGGTGTGGATCTTCCTCCTCTACAGTTTCCATTATCTATAAGTTATCCGCATCTCATATTTTTGGCTAAAGTTTTTCTTACAGACCGGATGCCTTTCCTGCCATCTATCTATCTATCTATATTTCTATTTATCTATCTATCTATCTATCTAAATTTCTATTTATCTATCTATCTATCTATCTATCTATCTATATATATATAATGTATATATATATTCCTTGTGACCTGTCGCGATGTTTTTTATGTATGATATATCTAATCGTTTTGCTTGTAGGACTTATAATTTGCGCACATGTAGATAATCTAACGCTATAATATATCATACCTGTTGTTCAGAGCGTTTCCTACACCTCAGTAATACTGCGTGAAGTTGAATTTAATTTTATCCCCTTCACAGTCTTTATCCTTCACACTTTATCATTACATTTACCATTTTACTAAAGCTGTGTCTCTTGTTATTTCATGTCTCAATGTCTTTCAATTTATGCAAATGATTTGGTTTAGGTAATTAAAAATACCGGGGTCTATTATCTTGCATTTTATTATAAAATAAATGAAAAAAGCAAATATCTACATATTCGTTATGATACAGACATAATTTTGTAGTTTTTTTCTTCTATAAAATAAATACAAGTTATTCTAATCTAATGCCTTTTTATAATGTCCTAATAATTATTATGGATAATGTCAATCAGGTGAGAGAAAGTGTCGAAATGTAAACACAGATTGTTCTTTTTATAAGTAAGTAATAATGAAAAGTTCAACGATGATTTTGGTTCAATATATGCACAGGTTTTGGGTCAATTGTTGTGTAAGTTCAGTGGTGCGTTCATGTACAGTGAATATACAGTCATGCTTAATATACAGGGGGGGGAGGGAGGGTATTTCAAGATGTTCAGTGGTTGTGTTCTACCTTCTGAACCTTCTGCATAAAGAAATATGTATATATATATATATATATATATATATATATATATATATATATATATATATATATATATATAGAGAGAGAGAGAGAGAGAGAGAGAGAGAGAGAGAGAGAGAGAGAGAGAAGGAACAGAGAGTGGTACTGATCACAAAGCAAAAGGAAGACACCACACATACACAGCTAACCCTTTATGGCGCAGCTGTTGGGATATACAATACAAAAATCACTCTTATGAACTTCAGGCCGAAAACAGTGTCTTACGTTGCCGAAAAAAACAGGATTCTTAACATTGTTTGCATAACATGTATAGAGTTAATGTGGTTTATATATACACAGTATATATATATAACATATGCAGAAGAGAGAGTACAATTTTGACTTATGGCTGTCAGTCGGACCTTCCCAGGACAGAATTAGAATTTAAAATGTATTCTATTTAACATAATGACTTTAAACGACCGGCCTTCGATTCCCTCCACTCACACTCCCAAACGTTATTAATGCCCGTTATATCGCCAGGTGAAAGCAAAGACGAGATTGAGAAAAAGGGAGAGAGAGAAAAAACGCACACACACACACACACACACACACACAAACACACACACACACACACACACACACACACACACACATTCCTGCCTTACATGGCGCTTCATTTAAAACAATATCTAATTACAACCATTCAATTTTTTTCGTCTAGTTTGAATATAGTAAGATATATTAATTCATCAATCTAAGTCTATTATGGTAACTCTTCTCAAAAAAAAATTGTCTGAAAGGGAAAAAAAAATCTTTGGAAAAGGGTAACGCGCTCATTAATTTATCTCGAATAATTATATGGAAAAGGGTAACGCGCTTAAATACTTTATCTTGAGTAATTCAGAAACTCATAGTCAATATGATATGCGATATTATGATATGCGAAAATATAAAGACTATAGAAATTTATAGAATATAAGTGAATCATATCAAGTGAGCGAATAACACAGTAAGCTTTGTTAAAAAAAATTGAGAAAATGTTAAAGCACGTTATCCCTACCGAGATCTTGTTTTTGAAAAATCGAACTTTCATCTTCATTATCATTTTCTGTCGAATGATACTTACTTATATATATTTTTTTCTTTTTATATAAACAATTAAAATACATACTTGAGCAGGATTTTCATGACACAAAAGATTATATATGTACAAAGCATGTCAAAAAACGTCATATTTAATATCACAGTTCAATTGGAACAGAACGGTGATGTATGTCAGTGCATACAGGTAAATAGATAGATAGATAGACAGATAGAGAGATAGATAGATAGACAGATAGAGAGATAGATAGATAGACAGATAGATAGATAGAGAGAAAGACAGAGAGATGAGAGAGAGGAGAGAGAGAGAGAGAGAGAGAGAGAGAGAGAGAGAGAGAGAGAGAGAGAGAGAGAGAGAGAGAGAGAGAGAGAGAGAAAATAATTGCAGTGAGTCATTTGGCCTCATTTGCATTTCGCCACCGATGAGTGCTTTGAAAAAAATAGTGAAAAGAAATGATAATGGCGGAGAATAATCATGATATTTGCTTTAGTTGATGATTAACTATTCAATGATAAACTAATTACCTATAGAAGCGTAATTTGCATGTTAATCAGCTCGTGACGAACATCTTAGACGGAGGGAAAACTAAATCCATAAAAAAAAATAGACTTTTCAAGTTGTCTTACATGAAACTCCGAAACATGTTCGACACACGTGTTTCGAAGCTCATAATCTTGATTTTTCTTCATCCCAACCGTCTTTGCAATATTATAATTACAAAAAAAAGAAGTAACTCTATATATATTTCCTTATATTAACAAATCGACGAGTGTAAGTTGCTTAGAGAGCCATTTCTGCGGCCGCCTCCCTCTGACGTCACCAAACGATTCGAAACTCAAAAAAAAAAAGAAAAAAAGGAGAAAAGAGGAAGAAGAAAAAAAGAGAAGAATAAAAAAAGGTTCTTTTACAGGATCTCAGAGATCTCAGAAAGAAAGAAAAAAGGGAGAAAAGAGAAAGAAAAGAAGAAGAAACAAAAAAATAGGTTCTTTTACAGAATCGTCGGCTACAGAAACATCCCAGAGGCGAGGAAAGTACACGAGTCCACACAAAAGTGACCCTTATAGTCTTAGTACTTTTGGTGTTGTTGTTCTTGTTATTGCTTCTGTTGTTGTTGTTGTCGTATCTTATCCATGCACGACACTGAGCCCTGGATACTTAGTCCTAAACT